GGGCGAAAGGGGGGGATTGGGAAAGGGGGGGTTACGAAATTTGCTGCATGCAGCTGGTTTCGGCCTCACCGAGGGGCCCATTCCTCGATACATAGCCGCCTCCGGCGCCGGGAGGCGCTGGGAAAATCAGCTACGCGAGCTGATTCTCAAACCCCCCCTTTGCTATCCCCCCCTTTCGCCCGACCCGATACTGGCGTCGTCGTCGTCGTCGCCGCCGCCCTCGCCGTCGCCGTCGCCGCGGTCTGGCCATAAACCCTCATTCTGCAGCTATTCCACTGGCCCTGGGACGCAGCCAACCCGTGAGCCTCGGACCCGAGGGTACAGGTGGAAGGCGGGCCAGGCAGGCGGTGCGGGGGCGCTGATGTGAGAGGAGCAAGAAGACATGATAATGCTGCGTTCGCAGATTTCCAATGTTGAGAAGGCCTTACGGCTGGTGCTGCCGACCCTGAAGGACTATGACGACGACGGCGACGATTTGATTGGTTTGCCATAGGCTCCGGACATGGGGCGGAGGAGGAGGAGGAGGAGGAGGGGGAGGAGGAGCAGGAGGAGGAGGAGGAGGAGGAGGAGGAGGGCAAGGACGCAGACAAGGACAAGGGCAAGGACGAGGGCGAAGACCAGGACGATGAGGACGACGAGGATACGATGTGGAGGAGGAGGAGGACGAGGAGGAGGAGGCAGAGGAGGACGAGGAGGAGGAGGAGGATAAGGAAGAGTAGGAGGAGGAGGACGAGGAATACTAATGATAATCAGAAGGAAACGAACAATCAAACTACTCCTATGTATAATTGCAGTGCGTCTAGCAATCATAATAACACTACGACCGATATCACTAATGCTATTTTCAATGACGCGAACAATCATGATAGCATTAGCGTTACTACGACTACTACTACTACGACGACTACTACTACTACTACTACTACTACTACTACTACTACTACTACTACTACTACTACTACTGCTACTGCTACTACTACTACTACTACTACTACTACTACTACGACTACTACTACTACTACTATTACTACTACTACTACTACTACTACCTACTACTACTACTACTACTATTACTACTACTACTACTACCACTACTACACACTACTACTACTACTACCACTCTACTACTACCACTACTACTACTACTACGACTACTACTCACTACTACTACTACTACTACTACTACTACTACTACTACTACCTACTACCTACTACTACTACCCTACTACCTACTACCTACACCTACTACTACTACTAACTACTACTACTACTACTACTACTACTACTACTACTACTACTACTACTACTACTACTACTACTACTACTACTACTACTACTACTACTACTACTACTACTACTACTACTACTACTACTACTACTACTACTACTACTACGTACTACTACTACTACTACTACTACTACTACTACTACTACTACTACTACTACTACTACTACTATACTACTACTACTACTACTACTACTGCTTTGACTAAGAAGAAGGAGGAGGGGGAGGAGGAAAGGAGGATGAGGAGGAGGAGGAGGAGGGGAGGGGGAGGGAAAGAGGAGCGGAGGAGGAGGATGAAAAAGGAGGAGTATGAATAATAAGACACACGCAAGAGTAATACAACGGGGAGAAGGAGAAGGAGGAGGAGGAGGAGGAGGAGGAGGAGGAGGGGCGGGGGAAAGGGAGGGAGGAGGAGGAGGAGGAGGAAGAGGAGGAGGAGGAGGCGGAGGAGGAGGCCCTCTTAGGCAGTCTTTTGGGCCATCTGAGGGCAACCAGGGTCTGGTTTTGGGCGTGTGCGCGGCCTGGAACCCCAGATCCCCTCGGCCCAACCCCGGGACCACCCCCTACCCACCTCCCGGGGGGGAAACGAATCAAAGGGAAGAGGCCTCCCTTCGACTCCTAGTACGACGCTGCTCAATTTCGCTCCGGTTTCGCCGTTGGCTGGCTCGCTTGAGGGGGGGTGCCCAGTGAAAGGGGGGGGGGGGGCGGCGACAGGCCCAGGGACGACGGCGACGGCGGAGACGAGGACGTCGACGACGACTACGACGACGACGACGAGTCAAACAGAACAGCGTCTTGAGGAGGAGGAGGAGGAGGAGGAGGAGGAGGAGGAGGCCCTCTTGGGCGGTCTTGGGGCCCTTCTTGGGGCACTGTGGGTGCGTTTTGGGGCGGTTGTGGGCCCCAGGACACCTGGCGAGATGGTATTCTGACCTGGGACCCCCCGAGACCCCCTCCAGGACCCTCCCCCAGGACCACCCTAGGACCCCCCCCCGCCGCCCCCCCCCCAACCCACCCCTTCGGGCGGAGGGCATCACAGGGAAGAGGCCTCCCCGCGACTCAACTGCGACGTTGCTCGATCTCGCTTTGGTTTCGCATTGGCTGGCTCGCTTGAGGAGGAGGGCCCTGTGAAAGGGCGGGGGGCGGCGACGGGCACGGGAAAAGCAGATCAAACGCGACCGCCACGGCAACGACGACGAGGACGACGACGACGACGAG